TAGGGTCAGAGGGAGAAGCAGACTCTCCGCCAAGCAGGGAGCCCGATGCGGGACTCGATCCAGAGACTCCAGGATCATGACCTGAGCCGAAGGCAGTCGCCCAACCAACTGAGCCACCCAGGCGCCCCAGTAGATTTCTAATATAAACCACAAATAAGTACAAATCATAAAGAATAATATTAATTAGTTAGAATATATTAAAATTTTAAACTTTTGTACAATATACTGGCATTAAAGTTAGAAGACAAACCAGAGCCACAGTGAAGTATTTGCATGATGTAAGACAGTTTTCTGTTACCCAATAGATAAAAAGGGGCACAGTACAAGTATGAGCAATTGACAGAAGAGGAAAACTGAAGAGTCAGTAAATACTATAAAAGATGCTCAACCTCATCAGTAGTCAGAGAATTGCAAACTTATATAAAGAAATAGCACTGACCCACTATTAAAAAATGTTCTAATTTGATAATACTGAGTACTGGACACTATATGGGGAAACAAAATGTCATCCATGCCTAGCAGAAGGGTCAACTAGGTCAACCTCTTTGGTGATCACTTTGTTGATATTTAGTAAATTCAACAATATGCATTGTCAGTAATCTAACATCCTTTCCAATATATGTATCCTAGAGAAACTCTTTCACATGTATACCAAAACACATGGTCTAGAATATTCACCACATTCTTTCTTGTTTTTCTCTCTCTCTCTCTCCCTCCCTCTACACACACATACACACACACACACGAATATGGAATAGCTTAATTATACAACAATATGAATTGTATAAATAAAGTGTTGTATATTCATATAATCAAATAGTATGGTATAGTTCAAATAAATGAACTGGATCTATAGATGTCAACTTGAATTATCTTAAAAATAGAATGTTGAGAGGAAAACACAAGTTGTTTAGGAATATTTATAGTACAATATTACTTACATAAAAAGTAAAACCCAGAGCACCATACTCTGTATTATTTATGGATAAATAAGTATTTAATAAAAATACAGAAACAAGGAATCATGTTTGTGATTACCTCTGGAAAAGAAAAAAGAAGAATCAGAGCAATGAAAGGTATAAGTATCAGAGATGTTTCAACTTTATTTCTGTTTTCTTTCTTTAATGAAAAGGATATAAAAATATTAAAAATGGATAAATTACATTGAGTCTACGTGGGGAGTACATATAGATATGTCATATTATTTTATTTTCGTTTGAAATGCTTTATAATTTTTTGTTTTCCATGAAAATATTTCATCAATCATGAAAAGGTCCTAACCCCATACAAATCACTTCAAATTCACTACATTCACAAATGTAGTTTGCCTTCATTCATCTTTTACTGAGCATCATTTTAAGCCACATGCTATATGTTGTTTGAGGATTAGAGACTAGTTAGTGTCAGAAGAAATGTAAATAGTAGCAATATTCTGCAAGGAAAGTAGCAAGGATTGGATAAAGATACCATGAAGATCAAGAAAGGTCCAAATGGCATAAAATCGAAAAGAGGTTAGTCAAATGCTCAAAAAACATTCTTGGTATTGAGTGAGAAGCCAAAGATGTCACTGTCAAAAAAAAAACAAATAAAAACAAAGCGAAAAACAAAAAATCAAAGGTATGGAAAATTTCTACTAAAATTTTAATTTGGAGGCTCTTAGAGAATATGATATAGAGTATATGTCAACAATATGACTTATTACTAAGACTACAATAAACATCAAAGTTTTTTCCCGGAAGCAAGCATTTTAACTATTAATATCCCAAGAAACTCCCATAGCAACATACCTGGAGAAGGAGTCTTTCAAAAGCCAGAAAGTTGTCCCACTTGGCAGTCTGCGGGTGTTTCAGGGTTTGAACCGTGGCCAGCCCAAGCTGTAGGAGCCCACAGTGATTCACTAAAGCTTTGACGTTGTTCTTGAAGAGCTGAATATAGGACATGAGCTGCCCCGGAGTTACTCTCCCTGGAGAAACATAATAATTTATCAGTAGTAAAATCATGAGAGGAATGCCATTAATAATATTACTGCTTCCTACTGGCACAGAATTTCAGAGTTGGCTGCAAGCTTTCCTAAGCTATTGTGATTCTTACAACAAAATGGTGACAGTAGCAAATTTGAAACTATTACCTGCCTTTTACAAGTAAAGAAACAGGGGGCACCTGAGTGGCTCAGTTGGTTAAGCATCCGACTCTTGATCTCAGTTTGGGTCTTCATCTCAGGGTCCTGAGTTCAAGCCCTGCACTGGGCTTCACGCTGGGCATGGAGCCCACTTAAAAAAAAAAAAAAACTGGGGCGCCTGGGTGGCACAGTTGGTTAAGTGTCCGACTCTTGGTTTCGCTTCAGGTTGTAATGTCAGGGTCATGAGATCAAGCCCTGCATCAGGCTCCACACTCAGCAAGGAGTATGCTTGAGATTCTCTCTCCCTCTGCCCCTCCCACTCATGCTCTCTCTCTCTCTAAAAATAAATGAACAAATCTTTAAAATGTAAATAAATAAAAATTTTAAAATTTAAAGAAAACACACAAGTAGAGAAACATATTAAGTGATCTGGCCAAGGCTATATTACTAGTAGAACTTATTTTATAATTCTGCAATGCCCCACAAATAAATTCTCAAAGTCATCCAAATAAGTATTCTTTGAGCTCAACATGGAGTGCCTCTCCAAGCAGAGTACATAGCGATCTAAGAAGCAAAAAGGCAAAATTTCTAATGGTGTGTGTATGTATAGAAAGTAAGAAGAGAAATCCGTTACAACTGTGGCTAAAACCTTATCACTGATATCAGTGGGTTCATGACAATATTCATGAGGATCAAAGCTGGCTGTCACGTGAAATAAAAATCTATGGAGACCTGGGGTGGCAAAAACACTGGAAGATGAGGCATCAGAAGAAAACACTGCATATGAGTGATACAGCACATTTACTACAATGGTCACCTAGACTAAAACAAGAGCCCTATCTCATAAAAGACTAGATAGTACAGAAAAACAAAACGTTTGTTGAAGATTCACTCCTTTAGAGCCTCTAAGTCCAACATTTGCCTATTGCAGTCCTTTGAGTCACTTCACATTGTCCAACGTATCAAACTGCATTCCTGCTGATCATGGGTGCTATGGACAAAACTCCTGAACACCAGATTCTCTCCATTGGACAAGGAGGTAGCAGTGGGGCCAAACATAGATGCAGGTCAGGTAAATCTTTCCTACACACCTTATCCATACCATGTTTGTGGGTTGCTCTCCAATGCCTGAAATCCAAGTTTGTTTATTATATCTAGGTTTAATATTTAGCAATGAAATCACCTATATTTACTTAGCACCTTACAGTTTACATAGTGCAAGTATGCCATCTTCTGATTCTCATAGCAACTCTACGGGGTGGCAAACAAGGCATGTGCTGCATCTGTTAGACCCACCTGAGGGAGTTCGGTGTCTTACACAATGCTAAATATCAGGTATCACTTAATAAGTGGTTTTTGATCACAATACACAAAAACCAAAGACCTTGCCACAAGAAAGTTATATGCCTGCAACAGAAAGAATAAGAATAGTGGAATGGTAAGTAGTGAAGCAAGCCTCACTCATTTCTTTGGTTCCTTGGTAAAGTCTGAGTTCATTCCTGATTCTCAAGGCAGCAAGCTAATGATCTACTTGCTTAACTACTTACAGAGAAGAGCCTCATCAACTCCTTCTTTGTCTGGTTCTGAGTCAGGTTTATTAAGGTATAATTTACATAAAGTTCACCCTTCTTCTGGTGTACAGCTCTAGGAATTGTGACAAATGCATATAGTTGGGTAAGCACTATCACAGTCAAGATACAGAACATTTCCATCATTCCAAAGACTTTACCTTCTTTGTAGTCAATTCTCCTTCTCCACCCCAGCCCTTGTGAGCACTTCTCTGTCTTTATCTGATCTCTGTCCAATAGTTCAGCTTTTCCAGAATGTTATATAGATGAAATTATACAGTATGGAGCCATTTGATTCTGGCTTCCTTCACTTCAGCATAATGCATTTGATATTCGTCCTTGTTGTTGCTTGTATTAGTAGTTTGCTCCCTTTTCTTGCTGAATAATATTCCATTGTATGAATGTGTCATAGTTTATTTAGCCATTCATTTAGCCATTCACCAGTTAGTGATCATTTGGACTAGTTCCAATTTTTTAGAAATTATGAATAAAGCCTTCACAAATATCCATGTTCAGGTTTTCATGTGAGTATGTGTGTGTGGACAAATGGTTTCATTTTTCTTGGGTAAATTTCTAGACCTGGGGTTGCTGGGTCATATGCTAAATGTATGTTTAACTTTGTAAGAAACTGACAAATTGATTTCCAAAGCAGCCTGTCCTGCCAGCAATCTATGAGAATTCTAGTACCTCACATCCTCACCAGCCGTTGCTACTGCCAGTTATTTTTATTTTAGTCGTTCTAATACATGTGTAGCAACATCTCACTGTGGTTTTAATTTGTATTTTTCTAATGATGAATAATGTTGATCATCTTTTTATGTGCTTATGTGCCATCCTGTATGTTTTTTTGGTGAAGTGTCTGTTCAAATCTTTTGCCCATTTTTTATTAGGTTGTTTACTTTCTTATTATTAAATTGTGCCATCACTTTTATTAAGTCATTGATTCAACACATATTTCTGTGACAGACACTGTTCTTATTGCTAGAAATAAACCTGCAAACAAATCAGACAAAACTCTTTGTCCTCACAGTGAACAAATATAAAAGACAAATGTCTCCTTGATACCCTCCTATTTAATTCAATCTATTACATATCATTCTCATTTAGGGATGAAGGCCTTTTGTGCAAACGATAACATGTTTACACAATGACATCTTTTAATGCCTATTAAAAAAATTTTCACATGAAATGCGTTCAATCAGGGCGCCTGGGTGGCTCAGTTGGTTAAGCGACTGCCTTCGGCTCAGGTCATGATCCTGGAGTCCCGGGATCGAGTCCCGCATCGGGCTCCCTGCTCTGCAGGGAGTCTGCTCCTCCCTCTGACCCTCCCCCCTCTCATGTGCTCTCTGTCTCTCTCATTCTCTCTGTCTCAAATAAATAAATAAAATCTTTAAAAAAAAAAAAAAAAAAAAAGAAATGCGTTCAATCAATGATTGCCATGACCTCCATGTATTTGTTTACACATTGTACTGCTGGTGATGGCAATTCGGTTCCTGTACACATAGAGCTTAGTCTATCAAGAGAGATGTTCATTAAACAATTATACAAATAATTACTTAATCATGTTTGCGGTAATACTGCTGAGGAAAAATACAAAATGTCTTGAAAGCGTGAAAGGCCCTTTATGATTCAAAACTGCTGAACTGTCCAACCCTATCTCCTTAACTAAGGAGGCAGAATTAAGCTCAAAATACATATAACCCATTTGCAATTTAACTGTCTTATAGAGAGAAATCATCAGAGCAAGTCATCAGAAGGTCTGTTTAGATTTCTGTTGTAATAACCATATATTCAATTTAAAGATAAGAGTTTCTTTGATTCAAAAACATAGGTGAACTTTTTATCTAGTTAGCATTTCCTAGCTCAGCCTCTAGTCATCTTATTTACGTAATGCTGCCTGCCCACCTAAGGCATGTGATCCAAAGGAACAAATGAGTATAGAGAATTTGGTAATTGGAAATGCAACAACACACTACATTGTGAATTTAGTAATTATTTGCCTTTGCTGCCCTATTCTGTTCCCCTCTATATAGCTTTTTTTTTTTACGTACAAATGCCAGTAACACTTCATTAGGTACATCTTGATAGCAGATTTCATTTTGCTCCATAACATGCTGCTTGGAATTCAGTAAAGAAGTAGGTCACACAGGTGCTTTAAAATATACGCTAGTGAACACTTTTTCATGTGTCTGTTAGCCATTTGTATGTCTTCTTCAGAGAAGTGTCTGTTCATGTCTTCTGCCCATTTTTTGATTTGATTATTTGTTTTTTGAGTGCTGAGTTTGAGAAGTTCTTTAATAGATCTTGGATACCAGCCCTTTCTCTGCAAATATCTTTTCCCATTCTGTGAGTTGCCTCTTTGTTTTGTTGACTGTTTCCTTTGCTGTGCAGAAGCTTTTTATCTTGATTAAGTATCAAAAGTTCATTTTTGCTTTTGTTTCACTAGCCTTTGGAGATGTATCCTGAAAGAAGCTGCTGTGACTGATGTCAAAGAGGTTACTGCTTATGTTCTCCTCTAGGATTTTGATGGATTCCTGTCTCACATTGAGGTCTTTCATCCATTTTGAGTTTATCTTTGTGTATGGTCTTAGAGAATGGTCGAGTTTCATTCTTCTGCATGTGGCTGTCCAATTTT